GCATATATTGATGGTGCCACTTCTACATCAATATTAGTCAACAATGAATTAGAAATCCAACACGTATCTATTCTCAAATAAAATTTGTGGACTGAAGAATAGTAAATATATTCTCTCTCTGCAGGATGTTTATATCTCCACACATCAAAAGAGATAACAGTGTCATATAGTCTGGGACATTGTGCAGATTATTAAAAATATTTCTTTTCGATAGAGTTGACTTATCCAGAAGGTGGGATAAAACCCATTCGTATCACAAGTTTTAAAATATCACTGTAGTTTCAAGAATGGTTGAAAAATGGTTCATAATCCTTCTTGTTGGGCTATAACTTCTGAATGACAGTTATAATTTCTAGATTATAAAGATTCAAATTTATTATTACAATGAAATGTACATCCAAAGTGTAATATATACTGCCATGTGAACAATTCTTATTCTGCATTACTTGAGCACCAGAAGCAGATCACCCAAAGGAAACGTCTAGTGTGTTAGTGAAATGAGTAAAAGCACTGTGGAATCCTTTAGACATATTGTGATGATTGGGAATTATGGGAATTAAAGCTTATATATCTTTCATTTGTTGTTGTGCTGGTTTGGGATAGTGGGAGATGGGAATTGTTGCTTGATACATCTAGATCAGTATTGTCCAAACTTGGCCACTTTAAGATGAGTGGACTTCAACTCAGATCAGTATTGTCCAAACTTGGCCACTTTAAGATGAGTGGACTTCAACTCAGATCAGTATTGTCCAAACTTGGCCACTTTAAGATGAGTGGACTTCAACTCAGATCAGTATTGTCCAAACTTGGCCACTTTAAGATGAGTGGACTTCAACTCTCAGAATTCCCCAGCCAGCATGGGGAATTCTGGGAGTTGAAGTCCACTCATCTTAAAGTGGCCAAGTTTGGACAACACTGATCTAGAGGGATCTGATTGGGAAAAACTGATATGAAGACTGTTTTTAAAGATCTTAAACTATCTATAGGATCTTTGAAAATTGGAGTTGTTTGCATGACAACCTAACATAAATTGTACATATTAAGGCTGTGGTGCATTTTGGATTGTGTTCGGAAAGTTCTGTGACTTTTCTCTGGATTGGAGGAGGGAGGGCAGTCACACAGCCTTGAAACAAGTTGTAGCTGTTTTAAAAAGTTGCAGCCAAGTGCTAGGTTCACACTCCTGCATGCTCCAAACTACCTTCTTAGAACAGAATCCGAAAGACTATATAGCCATAATAGATATGGAAATAAAATAATGATGAAATTCCAGTGTGGATGGTTCTGAGAACAACTCCTGGAACTGTTACTTTGAACCAATTTAAAAACAAGGTTCCATATGGTCACAAACTAGATAAATCTAGAAACATGTACGCAGATTGAGTGGCTAATCTTGGGACATGTTAATCTCTTGCTATTAAGAGGGTAATCATTATTAATAAATATTTAAAATACTAATCTAAGTTATTTTACTTTGTTTTATTCAGATGGTGCCACTAATTGTAATGTTGGAATCAATAACAAATCCAATACGAGAGATCTAAATATCAGTTTGAATTGCCCATTGTACAATTCCATTTTATCATGGTTTCTGTTTCCATTCACTGTATATGAAAAACTAGAACTTTGAATGTTGGCTCAGTGCAAGGAAACTTATGGCAACCTAGTATGCTTTTCCTGAGCTCTTTCTGCCAAATCTAGTAGGGTTGCTAGCTGTCTGCTATTGTTATGATTATTGATTTAAATGTGTGTGTTTGGGTGTTGCTGAATCTTTCTAGGCAGGAAATCTTCCTGCTCATCCCTGCCTAAGAGGGAATGTATTACTTTAAATAAGGCAATCAGAGAGAAGAAATAATGGTGCTTTTCTTCCCTTATTGCTGAATGTCAGTTTATACTTGAGCTCATAGCTGGGATCAGTCAGGTCCACGTCTGGTCTTTCTCTTCTGGTGCCCTAGGCATTGTTCCTGATGCTTCATCTTCCGAGGATCCTCAGTAAAGTAAGGTACACCCTGGAATTGGCACACTGAAAGATAATCAGCAGAACTACCTGTAAGAATATTGAAGAAGTCCCCAAGCAACATCTGGAAATGCTTCAGATCCATCAGGTGCTACCCTGTGAAGATCCTGAGTAGCAGGTTTTTTTGGTTGGATCAGAAATGATCTGACCATGACAGGGGCTCAGTATAATGCCCTCCTTGACAAATGTGAGGTTTAATATACAACCACCTGCACGTGTCAGGCCAAAGTTTCTAGAAGCTGTAAAATGACTGGTCGGGGCTTGCTCAACATCACAAAAAATCCTCTGAAGTTAATTAATTTGAGAGAGTGTGACTCCTCTTTGCCTCTCTGGCATAGAGACTCAGGTGTGATGTGGAAGCCAAGAACACAGTGTAATTTAGTATCAGCTGCTTTAAGTTTTAATTAAGTTAAATTCTTTGCTCTGCTTCCTGCTAGAAATTTGATACAGGTAGTCCTTGCTTAATGACCATTCATTTAACAACAGTTCAAAGTTACGATGGCCTTGGAAAGAGTGCTTTACGACCTGTACTCACACTTACAACCATCGCAAACTCACACCACCCCCGTGGCCATATGATTGGATTTGAGACCATTTTTATGACAGTAAAAGTGAATCACCATGGTTGTTAAGCAAATCAAATGGTCATTAAGCAAATTCCAGCAAAAACCATTCATTGGGTAAGCTTGATTCACTTAACAGCCATGTGATTTGCTTAGCGACCATGGTGATTTGCTTAATGGCTGTTGTAACATTGGGTGTGGTCACGTGGTAACTCGATTAATACCGCCCCACTTAACAACCAATTTTCTGGTCCCTATTGTGTTTGTTAATCAAGGACTACCTGTATTTGTACTGCATCAATTTGTGATCTGCCAGGTTAAACGCAGCATATCAATCAGTGCTTCCAGATGTAGGATAAACATGTATGTATGCATTAGGCTCTGGACAGCTCCAGAAAGGCAACTTTGCATGGTGTTCAACAAATCCCCGACTGAGTCTTGGCCTAATATTTCTGAGCTAGCTTTTAAACTATACTGTTGCAATAATTTTTTGTACCAAATGCAGTGTACCAGGTATGACATTTTAGAGTGACATTTCCTATGAACTACACATACAGGAGTGATTTCTGCCTGGAGTTAACTGTTCACTTTTTCCAGGCAGAATTTCCAGAAAGTTTTAATCTAAATATAGCTGTGGCTGAGCAGAAGTGACTCAGACATTGCAGAGAGCCTGTTTTTAGTATGACACTCTGGAGTTCATATGAGCCACAAGAGCAGGTGGTCAACAACTGTTGTTAAGGAAAGGAGGGTCTCTCTTGCTAATTCCAGCTGTATCTTTGGCATCCAATAATTTGGCAATGAATCTAAAATGAACAGAAGCCTATTGGATGTTTATAACAGTGAACACTAGTGGATGTATCATAGCCAGGCAGTGTTCCAGAATTGGCTTTGGACAGCACAGCAAAAATGGTTCATTCACAGACTAGGGAGTTAAGAGCAGGGCATTCTTCTTCGCCCAGGCCTCAGCTGGCAGCCCAAACACAGTTCAGTGTAGAACATTGGTACGGATGTTTCACCATGAGCACAGTCAAGGGTCCAGTGGTCCATTTTTCCATGTTGTCTTGCAAATGCTTTTATAAGAGTTGCATTCAGTGTAATACCATTCTTTGACTGATCAAAGATTGATCAGTGACTTTTCAAATAATTTAACTGCTGTCAGTAGTCAAACTACAGTTTCCTTTGGTGCAGATAAGGAAGATGAAATTTGTGGATCTAGTGCAGTCTTCCCCAACCAAATGTCTGCCATGCTGACTGGGGGTGATGGAACTTGTAGTCTAACATTTCTGGAGGATGATTTAGGGGAAATAGAATAAATATTTGAACTATGTTTGATATATATAAAGGAGCAGCCATACAATGAAGACAACAGTTCAAGTGACTTGGTATATTTATTTTTTACTGTTACTCATTCACTAACTGTACTTTTCTGCCAGGCATTTGGAGTTTAAGTTGTTACTTGCTGGGCCACTTTAGCTGTTTGGGATACAAATAACTTTAAAATCATCTTATTTATTTGAATTTTAATGCATTTTTATATTCTGCTGTTTAATTTTAATTATTTTTCAAACTCATATGCCACCTAGCTCCTAGTAACTCTGGACAGCTCACAACAATCAAAGCAAAGAAATATTACAATAAAATCAATTTTAAAAAAGAAGATAAAAGATGGCAAGGATGATAGACCAGATGGGAATGAAGCAAGGGGTCTTACTCTCCCTTGCCAAAGGCCTTGGTGAAGACCCAGATCTTCATGGTCCTTCTAAACAACAGAAAGGGGGCCATCCAGACCTCGGGGGGAACCTCATTCCAGAGGGCAGACGCTGCTGCAGAGAAGGGGCGCTTCCAGGGTCCCAATAGATGGCATTGTTTAATCGAAGGAACTCAGGACACTCCAACCCTGCAAGATCAAATTGGCCAGGCAGATACTATGGGAGACAGGCTGTTTATATAATCTTGTGAAGGGGCAAGATGTAAGTTGCGTAATAAATAAATAACTCAGAAGTCAATGTGAAAGCTTTAGTCAAAGGAGAAAAAAATATTTAGAACAGTTTCCAAGTAAAGGTGTGACGAGTGGATGTATTCAGTGTCTGGATCAGGATCATTCCTTGCCACCTGAGAGCTCTTCATCCAGAGCTGCAGTTGATTCATCCAGGACTTACACTGTCATATGAATACAGCATGCCCATAAGAAAAATTGCTGAAGTGCCATTCAGTCTGTTCCATTACTGTATTGGTCCTGTAAGTCCTTACTGTATTGTATTCATAAGACACAGTAACCCTAAAGAAGTTGCAGGCAGCCACAGGGCTGAGAGAGAGGGGCTCAAGCCAAAAGTGTTTCTTCTCGGGTACAAAGAAGCTTGGCTTGTCCTGTTGTGCCATTATCCCTTGTTTGACCATGTTCACTGATGTCCGTATCTTTGCAGATTCCTGAATCCACTGAAAATGCTGCTTGGCATGGTTGTAGTGATCCTGGTCTTCGCAGCATTCGTGTATGCTTCCCACAACAAAGACGTCATTCGCAAGTTTAAGAAGCACTACCCTGCTGCGTTTGTCATAGCAGTTATGTTGTTGAGCTACTTCCTGATATCCTTTTACGGCGGAGTCATGGTGTTTCTGTTTGGAATCACATTTCCTTTGTTCCGTGAGTTTTTTGTATATACCCATAGCCAAGCATAAAGCTGAATGCCAGCTCATTCTGAAGCTGCTTTCATTTCTTTTTGTAAAGCATTAGGTGTGAAGAAACTTTTCTGTTTAAGTACAAATATCCAGAGAAATCAGATGCTTTTACTAGTAACTTTCAGGTGCAGGGATTTTATTTTCAGTCCAGATTGTAGGCTAACAGTTTTAACTGTGTAGCCGGCTGCCACATTTAACAGTACAGTGATACCTCGGGATACGAACGCCTCTGCTTGCGAATTTTTCGGGTTACGACCAGCTCGGCCCCCAAAATTTTACCGGGTGTTGAGAACTCCGCCTCGGGGTGCGAGCCATTTTCTGCCCGTGCCACGTGGTCCGCGGCCATTTTCTGCCCGTGCCACGTGGTCCGCGGCCATTTTG